GCTGAATACACAGAAGTAAACAAGCAGGTGAAGAGGAGCATCAGAACTGACAAACGTAAATATGTGGAAGATTTAGCAGTGACGGCGGAAAAGGCTGCCAGAGAAGGAAACATGAGACAACTGTATGAAACAACAAAGAAACTCTCTGGAAATCACCGTAAACCAGAACGACCAGTGAAAAGCAAGGAAGGCAAGATAATCACCAACATTGAAGAACAACGAAACAGGTGAGTAGAACACTTCAAAGAACTCTTGAATCGACCAGCCCCACTGAACCCACTCAACATCGAAGCAGCACTCACGGAACTCCCAATTGTTGTTGGCGCACCGACAATTGAAGAAATCAGCACGGCCACCAGACAAATCAAGAGTGGCAAAGCAGCAGGACTAGACAGCATTCCAACAGAGGCACTGAAAGCAGACGTAGCGGCAACTGCAAGGATACTCCACATTCTCTTCAGAAAGATCTGGGATGAGGAACAGGTACCAAAAGACTGGAAAGAACTTCTGGTCAAAATACCAAAGAAAGGCGATCTCAGCAACTGTGATAGCTACAGGGGAATCACTCTTCTTTCAATACCGGGAAAAATCTTCAACAGGGTATTGTTAAACAGGATGAAGGACTCTGTAGACGCCCAACTTCGCGACCAAAAGGCATGATTCCGTAAGGATAGATCGTGTACAGACCAAATCGCAACTCTACGGATCATTGTAGAACTATCAATTAATAAAAATTCATCACTCTTCATCAACTTCGTTGACTATGAGAAAGCATTTGATAGCGTGGACAGAACAACACTATGGAAGCTTCTTCGACACTACGGCGTGCCTCAGAAGATAGTCAATATCATACAGAATTCCTATGATGGATTAAACTGCAAAATCGTCCATGGAGGACAGTTGACAAACTCCTTGGAAGTAAAGACCGGTCTCAGGCAAGGTTGCTTACTCTCACCCTTTCTCTTTCTCCTGGTGATCGACTGGATCATCAAGACGTCAACATCTGAGGGGAAACACGGGATACAGTGGACAGCTAGGATGCAGCTGGACGATCTAGACTTCGCAGATGATCTGGCTATCCTATCGCACACGCAACACCAAATGCAGGAGAAGACGACCAGTGTAGCAGCAGCCTCAGCAGCACTAGGTATCAACATACACAAAGGGAAAAGCAAGATTCTCCGATGCAACACAGCATGCACCAATCCAATCACAATTGACGGAGAAGCTTTGGAAGATGTAAAAAATTTTACATATTTGGGCAGTATCATCGATGAACACGGTGGATCTGATGCAGATGTGAAAGCGAGGATCGGAAAAGCAAGAGTCAGTCAGTCAGTGGAACTTCGTACGTACGTACATCAGTTCGAGTTGCCATACCACATTAGCACAGAGATTCAGTTATCGTCTCAAATCCCGTAGTGGCAGAGTAGTGAAAGTATAAGTAGTGATAGGGAACATTAAGGTTTGATGATGTTATTTAAGAAGTATAGTCCAGTGGAATAGATTTAGAAAGTAAATAAAGGACATGAAGAATTCAGAAGATTAGAGTTTGGGAGAACACAAAGAGTGGATGCACCTGCGCCATTGCAAACGATTTTGAGCCATGTCATTCAAGGTCTCTAACCATCGGTTGCTATCATCTCGTGGTCCCCAACCAGGTAGTCTACACCTACCAACATGACTCAGTCCACTTCTCAGTGACTTCATCGATTTGTGCCATGTTTTGGTCTGGTCGCCCCTAGCTTTCTTCCAACCTATTCCTACACCATAAAACATCCCACGTCGTGGCAGTCGGTGGTCTGGCATGCGCAACACATGTCCCAGCCATCTCAACTGATTAAGTTTCACTACTTCGTCAATTGATTTGCCATCCTTACCTAGTACCCGTTTCCTAACAACTGAGTTACTTACTCGGTGGTCCCAGGATATACGAGCAATGTTTTAAAGACACCTATGATCAAATACTAGTAACCTACGAATATCCTCTACTCTTACCGGCCATGTTTCACTGCCATAAAGTAGGACAGAACGAACTGCTGCGCAGTAAACACGTCCTTTGGTTGATAGACGGATATCTCGCCTACTCCACAAATGACGCAAGTTGGCAAAAGCTAGTCGAGCCTTTTGTATCCGTGCTGAGATTTCGTCACACACCAAACCACAAGGGCTGATGAGACTCCCAAGATAAGTGAAGCGGTCGACACGCTCAACTACTTCACTCCCTATTACTAGTTCGGGTGCCGATGCAACCCAATCCTGAAGCAACATTTTGCATTTCGAGGGAGAAAATCGCATGCCGAACATGCATGCAGTGTTGCTTAGAGTGGTCAGCAGACTCTGCATTTTGTCAGCGTCTTCACCAAATAGAACTATGTCATCGGCATACTCTAAGTCAACAAGTGAATCTCCCGGTAAAAGTTCAACTCCTGGAAATTTATATGAGGAAAGTGTTATTTCTAAAAGCACGTCAACGGCAAAGTTAAACAAGAATGAAAAGAGTGGACAGCCCTGACGAACACCACTTGAGGTAATCAGTTCTGATGACAGTTCGCCATAAGATCTCACTCGACCAGTTGTGTTCAAGTAGAGAGCCTTTATAAGGTTAATGTACTTTTTTGGTACTCCTTTCAGTGACAAACACTGCCATAGAACCTCACGATCAACAGAGTCAAATGCCGCCTTAAGGTCGAGAAATACTACCATTGTGGGGCGTCTGAATGTGTGTCTATGTTGTAGGACCTGACGTAGTGTGAATATTTGATCTATACAACCTCATCCATGTCGAAAACCAGCCTGGTTTTCTCTAATCTGCATTTCACGAGCTTTGGTTAGACGTCGAAGTATTATTGAAGCTAATATTTTAGACACTATATTAGTCAAACTAATTCCTCTGTGATTGTTACAGGAGGACTTTTGTCCTTTTTTATAAACTGGCACAATCAGTGATTGAGACCAGTCTCAGGCAAGGTTGCTTACTCTCACCCTTTCTCTTCCTCCTGGTGATCGACTGGATCATCAAGACGTCAACATCTGAGGGGAAACACGGGATACAGTGGACAGCTAGGATGCAGCTGGACGATCTAGACTTCGCAGATGATCTGGCTATCCTATCGCACACGCAACACCAAATGCAGGAGAAGACGACCAGTGTAGCAGCAGCCTCAGCAGCACTAGGTATCAACATACACAAAGGGAAAAGCAAGATTCTCCGATGCAACACAGCATGCACCAATCCGATCACAATTGACGGAGAAGCTTTGGAAGATGTAAAAACCTTTACATATTTGGGCAGTATCATCGATGAACACGGTGGATCTGATGCAGATGTGAAGGCACGGATTGGCAAAGCAAGAGCAGCATATTTACAACACCAAAGTCAGAATTTTCAATACAAATGTCAAGACAGTTCTACTGTATGGGTCGGAAACCTGGAAAACTACGAAATCCATCGTCCAAAAGATACAGGTGTTTGTTAACAGTTGTCTACGCAAAATACTTCAGATCCGCTGGCCGGACACTATTAGCAACAACCTACTGTGGGAGAGAACAAATCAGATCCCAGTGGAGGAAGAAATCAGGAAGAAGCGCTGGAAGTGGATAGGACACACATTGAGGAAAACACCCAACTGCGTCACAAGACAAGCCCTCATATGGAATCTTCAAGGTCGAAGGAAGAGAGGAAGACCAAACGATACATTACGCCGGGAAATGGAGATAGATATGAGAAAAATGAACAAGAATTGGATGGAACTAGAAAAGAAGGCCCAGGACAGAGTGGGTTGGAGAATGCTGGTCGGTGGCCTATGCTCCATTGGGAGTAACAGGCGTAAGTAAGTAAGTAAGTACATTGTGATGCTTATTGGCCACCCGTGTATAGATAACTACACTGTAGATGACATTGAGCAATCAATTATCTTGACACATAATGATCTAAAAATCATCGATAGCCAAGACTTGGAAACTACTTCACACTACCGTGCTATGGCCGCCAAAGGTTTTAAAACCCTATGGTCAGCAAATAGAGCCTGTAGCCATGTTGATGTTAAAACCTCCATGAATTCCTGTACAGTATTCGGTTCTCCTAAACGCGAGTATTGCAGATAAAAGAGAACCCCCGCCTAAAAGTTACAGTGGGTTGTTGGAAAAGGATCAAAGAACATCAGTTCAACTAAGCTCCTGAGTCAGGACGCCGTGATTTGGCGATAAGCTTGTTAAACGAAAGCTATTTCCCTTGTATCAACGAAGGTCTAGAAGTACCTTTATTAGTTTTCAATTACATAATGATAAATTTGTACTTGAAAGGCCTTCGTTTATCCTGTTTCCGATGACAGAAAATTTTCGTGCACACCCCAAAAAAAGTCCACATGATCCTAAAAAATTAATTTTTAACTATCGACTCCCATCGAATCATCGACTAAATGTAACTCTTCACCAGATAAGTTACGGTTATTGCCATGATGAACACAGATCACCCAGTCTCCTGCTCTTTCCGAACTTTATAAAACTATTCGCACTGGCGCCTCCAATCACTTAACCTTTACCCGTTGGAGTATAGGCGTCTTAGAGGTGACCTTCTAATGGCTTACAGTATCCTCAACACTTCTGGACATCCTCTTAAACACCTACTTAAGCTTAGTCCCAATACTAACCTAAGGGGTAACACCCAGAAATTGGAGATACAACATAGCAGAACGGACTTCAGGCACAACTTCTACTCCTTATGAGTTGTCAAATGCTGGAATTCGCTGCCGGCTGAGCTAATCCAAGCGACTTCATAGGAGTCCTTTAAGAAGCGACTTGATCTATTCTTAAGGACTAGGGATAGTATCTTACTATGATTTACCAATTTCTTTTTTCTCTTTTATCGTTAATATACCTAGGTTCCTGCCTAGAGGTATTAATGATTCCCTGATGCTAGACACAGAAGCTTGTTAAACGAAAGCTTCTTCTATTCCGTCCACAACCATTTGGCTTGGAGAAGAGACATTGGATGTTGTATGACCTCTGAAGGTCGACCACATTTTAAGGTTGGTGTAACCACATTTTCTTGAGCTATTTTGTTTCCATAAGAGGAAACTAATAGGGGATATTTCCACTTCTTACGAGAACCGTTTATTAAATCTGAAGGAGTTGTGGAAGTGTAGGGAATCAAAGTTGCTTTTTTTCCGCACAATCTACTAGCCACGCACAACTTATACGATCTCAAGTCAAAATTCCTCGTCCTTACAGTGTAGTCTCACCGTACAACAGTTATACTCCCTCTCTTTAACTCGAATAACCAGAGTTAATTACAAATATTTGAGTAAGTGACCCAATCACTGGTGAAATTATCCTGACAGCTAGTATACTAGTGTCAGGAACGACACGTGTCGTTCCGCGCAATTTTTTGAGTTTTGTTCCATTTGTATTTGAAGATTTACAAATCAATACTCTTTTTTAATAAGCAACATGCAGCGGGAAACTACATACTTTCGTTCGAAATTGTGTCGTGTTTTATCTACCTTCGATCTCACTTAGTCTACGTAGACTAAGGTCATGATGTACATCATGACCTTTGTTTCAGATTTATGCATTCAGGACTGTAAAATTGCACGTCAGGAAGCGGACACCCAATAAAGTCATGCTATTCCTGCCAGCAAAAAATAGACTTTGCCCTCATTAAAACACCTGTCCTATATCTCCCATTATATGACCGGTATTTTTTCACAGCGTTATAAGAATGAAAAGCAATTAATGATGGATTTCAGACTTGGATAATTAACAACATGACATGGGATGGATCAACAAGTTCATTTTAGTTTTGCTTGGGAATCGGAGATCCACATATACTCATTCCATGAAGAAACAAACAACAAAACAAGGTGTAGTTTTAATTCCCATATACAATTAGAATCGAACTATTTGACAGAACCCAGTAAGCCTATCAATCTACTCAATCCTTTTGCGTATCGATTTGCGCCCAACTTGCTGACTGCATCGTGTATGACTAGTGTTTTGAGGGTTGTATTAACAAAAACACTTAGTCTCCTACCTTCCTTAGTCATGTAGTGAAGTACACACCGACTAACTCGCATTAAACTTGGTACATAGTGGTGTTATGATTTCCATCTTCCACTAGGCATAAAATGACTTGTCAGTATCATTGCGGGTGTTTCCATAGATCACAAAATCCAATGTAGTTCAAAGTATTTTATCATAAAATTATCCTTCCTGGTCTCGTTAATCGATATAATTAATTCTAAATCAAGTGTGCTTTTTAAATGGAAGAAGTTTTTAAACTTATGACCTCATGTTGTTAGACTTTCCATTTGCCAAAACTATTTTAGTTATGTGCTTTAAGTCAATTAATGGATCGAATTGGGAGAACAGTGACTGAGAAAGAGATGCGAGACTTTAGAACTACCCATATGACGAGATTAGACCTTACAAATGACTTTTCTTAATTAAGCTCTTGGTCACGCATTTTCAAGTACAGACTTTAACTATTCTTCCTAATCATTCGGGACGCCTAAGAAGACATTGCTAGTAAACTATAATGTATCTCCCACTATAGACGTCATAAGTTCTAGATATTCTACAAAATCGCCTAAATCCAACTAAGTGCATGCCTTGCTCTTTCCCATAACTGATTACTAACTAGTAATGTTACTTACTCCGCAGGTAACGTTAATCAGTAACCAGTGGCGTGAATAGTTAGGTCGTACGCATTGTTCTGTATACTAAAACGTTCAAGCTACACTAACTAATCATCCACTTGGTATGACAGCCTACTTGTTATTACGACCATTTTAATGAGTCATCTGCATATATATATATATATATATATAATTATAATCAAGAAGTGATACATTTTCTCATCCATCAAGGGCTATGTGACTACGTAACTGTTCATTATGAAGTATGGTTGTTATATGTTGCGTCAATCCAGGGGGTGTAGTTTAAGTTGTCAATATGTGAACTATGAATTTCTGTACTTAAAATTACCCTCAAAACATCTACATTCAACGGAGCCAGCAGTCTTTTCGAAATAGGTATAACCCACAATCCACAAAATACTCTGTAGATTTTTTAGGAAATTATATTGTCTGCCTCGATCTCTAGGGCAAATAAACAGTTGGTCTTTACCAGACCCATACCAACACAGTTGCAATAATCATTTACAGTCAGCAAACTACTTCGACATAAGTACTTTTTTCGACTTTTTCCTAGATGAATTTACTTAAACCGCTGATTATAAAACCAAACATCAGTGGTTTGATCAACAGTTTGTGTAGTAAAATGCGGTCACTCTCCATCCCACCGTCAATACCGTCGGAGATACTATACCAGCGTGAAATAACACCTGCTAAGACACCAGCTCATCATAATAATCCAGAAATCGAAAAGCTGTTAAAAGACGAACTATGTGATTACCCCGCATATTCCTCACGGAAAAGTAAATTCCGACAGTTATTTATTCCCACATAGTTCGCCATGGATTTCAGGATGCTATCATGATTCGTGATTACAAGCGCAGACAAGTTTCTGCTCATTTTTGTAACTTACGCATCAGATTAAACGCTATCAGGAAAAACACGATTTTACCCCAGGAAATCAAGGTAAGTTAGCAATAACATCATTTCGTACTAGGATTTAGCAACGTTATATATTTCATCGTTACCACGTGATAGCAATTGGACGCGCATTTTAAGCAGATGTACCGTTACTTCGAGGAGACGAGGATGTAAAACACGTTGGAAAGTTTCACGTATTATATGGAGAAAATATGCAGACTATAACAGAATGTCTGGGGTACTTTGGGCTCGCTGGGGATCGAATACTCGAAGCATACGAAGACATATGTTATGGCCGCCTCCTAGAGAAACCCCTGTCTCTGAATATATACATCGATATTACAAAAACTTGGCTGATGTATAGAACAAAACTAATTGATATAATAAAAGTTATATGTATTTAATTTCGTGAGTCGCGACTTTTGTTTTTTTACAATAATAAACGCGAAATTGATCTATCATCTATAGTGTTTATTAGTAAGTACAGTACATCAGAGCTCTGGAAGGACAAGAACCTCAAGTCGAAACTATCTCAAAGAATCCCTGGTGCGCAATGAGTAACTGCTTCGCACAGTAGCTGACTAAAGCAGAGGTTTAGATAAAGAAATACAGATACCTTACAAACAGCAGCATCGATGGTTTTCGACCGCCTGGTAGCTGGTTTATTTAAACCATTATTTATGCACAACTTAGCTGAAGTGCACATATTATTTCTCGATTCCACGCAAGATAATGATGCTGAAGCGTCCAGTGAAGTCGCCAAATTATTCACACACAACCTTGCTCTTTTGTCTGCAGAACGCTCATCAGAAATGAATAAGCTTACCACTGGCCGTCGGGGTTCTGTTCTTCTTTGATGTTTTCCCTTTACCAGGTGAACCAATGTCCTGACTCCGTTCCATTGGTGTGACTGGCTTTCCATGCAAGGAAGTGTCTGCACTAACATAATCTCGCATATTCTGATTAGTGTCGATGTCGTTTCCTACATCCAACACTGTTGTTCGCACGTGCTATTAGTACTGACCAACTTCACTTACCGTCTACCTCACTTCTGGTATTCGTATTGCTGCAACTTGCTTTTCTCTTTTCAGTTGAGGAGGTGGGGCTCACAATAACATTCTTGACTTCAGAGCCTAGGAGAAACATGGGTTAGAGACCAATAGACGAGACTTACCACTAACCGTAGGGGTTTTGTTCTTCTTTGGTGTTTTCCGTTTACCAGGTGAACCAATGTCCTGACTCCGTTCCGTTGGTGTGACTGGCTTTCCATGCAAGGAAGTGTCTGCACTAACATAATCTCGCATATTCTGATTAGTGTCGATGTCGTTTCCTACATCCAACACTGTTGTTCGCACGTGCTATTAGTATTGATCAACTCCACTTACCGTCTATCTCACCGTTTTCATTCTCAATATTACTACATTCACCATTTAATTTGGTCTTCTTAGATGATCTGCTGAACCCATAATCTGTTTGGATAGAAAATCTAATTAAAACTGTATAATCTAGTTTACCAGCCTGAACCTTCTCTTCACAATCAGACATATCGCGCTTTCTATCATTTTTATCCGTTAATCTTCGCTTAGCTTCTGATATAATGTCTGTATCCCGCTGTGCATTTGGACTGTTCGGGTTTCCCGGTTTTTCAAGTGAATATAGTGAGGACTGATTACCCTCTTTATCTAATTTTTAGCATTGGTTTACAACAATGCTGTCTTAAACTAACTTTTAACTATATCTGTACAAACGTCACCCCCTATTGGTAAAGCAGATGGATGGAATTTTCTCACAATCTTCTTTTCTCGAAAGTGCTCCTTCGGTTCTTTGTGGTGATAACTGTTTTGTTTCTTACACTACTGTTTAGTACAAAGATAAAAGGCACTTACGTTATCCTGTTCTCCACCATCAGAATTTGTAGATTGACCAAGCAGTGTTGCCAAGGTAGATAGATCAAAAGAGTTCAAAAGTACCTGTATTTTGTCTGCTACTGTGCAACCTCTCCAGTATGCTTTTTTTATATTTGTCCGGATTCTTAAGCCCATCCAGTCCAAAACGGAATTCGGATCTAAATATCTACCCAGTTGCTTTGTAATTATATTTTATTCTCATCGTACCTACCTCATAAGTAGGCTTCAGAACGTGAGAAAAGTTCAGATCCAGCCATTTATGAAGCATGAGAATTCTGATAGCATTCTCATGACGTTTATAAGTCGACTTGTCTAGAGAAAATACTCGTCTACAGAGATAAAATAAAGATAAATTTACTTTGCCACAAACTCTCCAAACTCAGGGACAAGAGCAATGGTGTTCATTTGTAGAAGTACGTCAACTAGATAAATAGTTTCCCCTGAAAGTGTGAACTCCACCATACAGAGATCTTTTGAGTTGAACAAGTCAAGATTGTTGTGCGAGTTATGTTTTTGAAGCAACACTCTGGAGTCAAGAAATGAAGCTAAAAGGGATGTCCAGGTCATATAGTTATCGGATCTACATAACTTGGATTATTAATAAATATTCACTGAAAGTCTTACAGGACACTCATGGAAGGAATGTGAATAATAAATAGACAGTACGTTGTAAAGATAATCATTAATTGTCCTAAGAAAGTATTTATAAAAATCAGAAGTTACTGGGCATTTCCTGCATCAATGCGAACACGACTCCAACTACAAAAATAAAATTTATTTTTTCAATGTGATTATTACAAAACAAGTCTAAGCGAACGTGCATATCTTTATGGTGACTATTTAAAATTGAGTCAATTATTCTCATTAACTACAGAAAATAGGAGTGAAGTAATCCCACTGAGATGACACAAATAAGAACTAATTGATGGTATTATGCCTAAGATAACCCACAGTATATCAGACCAACCACAGGTACGGAAAACAAACCAATCTGACAAACTTCTCATTGGTTTCCGGTTATCTCAAAAAGCAAACCAGGTACCATTCAATATTAGGACATTCAGGAGATTTAGATGCAAAACTATCGGTAGAAATACTTGCTGATAATTTACACAAACAACTAAGTATTAGCCCCCAAATGTCCTGGTACGAACGAGGGTGGGGAGAGTCAGCTCTTCCTCTCGAAATGCTCTCACATGGCCACGTGCATACAACCACTGTCAAGGAAGTCCTACTCACTGCCTTCTCGCGACATTACTGTTGCTTACGAAATTGAGAAGATGGAAAGCGAATGTCCGGCGCTTTAACCGGGTTGGTGGATATGGGGGATCCATCTAGAGGAGTTGAAAAACCTTGATTCCAAACCAATGGTCTCCAGTATCCTGAAGGAACAAACGGCGAATGAACCAATCGTTGGTCACCGGCTATCATGGGATTGCATCTCCTAACGTTGCTCCACTGCCTTGTGGGTCAGACCTTTAGGCCAAAGGCTCGGGGTGTGGCCCCCTAAGAAAACCACCTACTTCCGTCTGGACACCCGGACAGTATACTACCCCTTACACAAATCGATTGAGGAAGTGTGGCGCATATATTTAGTGCCTCATGCCAATGTTTGTGTTCAAATAAATAGATAAAATAACTATCATTATTGGCAGTTAAGCGGACCTATTTCTCAGAAAATTTCGATTAACTTTGTAGAACCGAAATTTTCACATATAGTCACACTGTCGCCCTAAGGGTGTATTAATGCTTGGGTTACTTGAAAGTAAATTGACATATAAAAAGAAATTTGTGTGTTTTTCGTACAATAGGTAATAGACATGTTATTCCTTCATTGGGTGATATCTACGTACCCCGCCCCACCTGTTTTTTTACGTTTATCAAACAAAAAGCAGATCCGCACTTCACTCCTATAACGTTACCAGAAAGCATCCCAAGCTCCCAACTTGGGGAAAAAACCCCAACGTTTGGGGAACTTCCCCAAAGTCAGGGGGAATTTCCCCAGGTATGGTTAAATTTTGGGGGTTTTGTGCCATTTCCCCAAAATAGGTAAAAATTTTCCCCAAAATTGGGAGCTTGGGCATAGTAATTACAAAAACAGCATTTTTGTGCCATTGTCAAGCTTGGTTAGAATGTGTTGAAATAACCATTGGTTACGAGAAAATACACGCTTCGTCTCGAAAAAAAATAGGTGGTTTACATTTTTCTGCCATCTATATTAAAGTAGGTATACTAACTGTCCTGTATTTCTGTTGAGGTCTGATTTCTGACACCAGTAGATCACTACAGCATAATCATGTTGTTCGTCCACCCATCCAAACCCTTAGATCCGGGAAAAAAACGAATGAGTACGATTTTGTTAAAATATAACACCATACAAAGGTTTTCTAGGTCTGTAAATATATGGGCTAATTAGTTTACACATATCATGATGTTTAAATGAATTCGAGTTTACTCAGAAATAATATCCAAGTCCGAAAAGTCGAGGTACTAACTTTTCAATTTTAACTATTAGATTGTGCTGAGTATCCAAGTCACCATTAACGAACGAATCCCTCAAACCTGACAAAACACAGTCCATCGACGAAAATTCAAAAGTAAGTGACGTCCTTGTGTGTCGACCTTTCCATTAAGTAAAACACTGGCAGTCGTGAATAAATATGTGTTAAAAATAGTTTCCATCGGTCGAATAAACATGTGGGTTGTGATTTATGACGTGTTTGGGGCTTTAGACCGCCGGCTTTTAGTTTCGATTGTTGGACTGTCTTGATTAAGCTCATGTGTTACTGCTAATTGTTGTCTACCATTTTCTTCATTAAGCGTGTGCTTTCTGAGCCTTTGGCAAACCTTTCCCTTTGTTCTTCACTTTTCTGGCTTCATTGAAACGCGCTACTCTGCAAGTTTCTAAGATAACTTCGAGCTAGACTCAAACCAATACATGTTACACTCTTCAATTAACCTATTTATATTGACATATAAAAGAGACAAAGTTGACTTGATGTGGTGTTTCAATGAACTAATAACTCCTTTGTACTTGTTGAATGTTGGATTTCGAATTCTAAATACAGTACATTCGTTAGTGCTTGTGTAGTACTTCCTTATTCAATTGCGCTATCCCTGGGATTCTTAGTTCATACTATAATTCAATTACTTCTAATTATCATATTGGCGTTGCAATGAAGCCTGCGATGGAACAGTTAGATATTCATTCAAATTCTGAAGCTTCTGAGGATTATTTGGAAAGTTTTGAAATCTGGAGCACGACCAAGAAAGATGTTAAATATGATAAGATTGTGGCACATTTCGTGACATTCATCGGAAAGGAAACATACAGCTTATTGAAAACTTTGGCATATCCAGAAAAACCTATCTCACTTCCTTATGCAACTATTAAGGAGCTATTATTAAATCATGTAAAGTGCACTAGTTTTGAATGCCGTGAAAGGGCAAAATTTCATAAGATGACTCGTCGAAATGACCAAAAGGTTAAGGAATTCATCCTTGAATTGCAGAAACAAGCTGCCGAATGTAATTTTGGTGATCAACTTCATGTGCAACTGAGAGATCGATTAATCGCAGGAATTAACTTGCCGGGTTTGGAAAGAGAGTTGTTAAGAATGCCGAACTGTTCCTTTCAAGATGCTAGAACTGCGTGTATTAACTACGAGGCAGTGAATGAACTTGATATCCAGTTCATGAAAATTTCTAATACTTTGATTAGTTTTCATGATGAAATACAATCTCAGGGTCAATCAAAATTGCGTTCGTTTAACAGTGGTTCCTATTATCGTGTAAATATGAAAGGTGTTTCAATAAGGAATCACAGAGCAAATCACAAAGGTGAGACCAAGTTTGGTAAGTGTTTATCATGTGGAAAAATTCATTCTCGTAATTTATGTGCATTTTGTAATGCTAAATGTTTTAGATGTGGTAAGATAGGACACATTCAATCAGTATGCAAAGCTACTGTTCATTTTGCCTCAAGTAGTAACGAGTCTTGCAATTTAGATCCCAATAATTCAGCTGTTCCTAATGATCATTTATCTTTGTCTACTGTTTCGAAAGGTAATGCTCATATTCAAAAGCGATTATATACATCGCTTGGTTCATTTCATGACTTTATTGTGGACACAGGCAGTATAGAGTCCATTATTTCATTCAAGAACTTGAAATCTTTAGCTCCCAACGTTGTGGTACGACCCACTGAAGTATCAATATTGGGGATTACTGGACGCAGACTGCCCATACGAGGATGTTGTGAATTGCTAATAAGGGATGATAATTCTTCATACATACCTTGTGAATTTTTAGTTGGCGAAACAGGACTGTCAATACTGGGCTTAAAGAAATTTGAAAAGGCTTAAAGTGGAGCTGTCTTTCCTAGTTTCTGAAGAAAATTCTGGTGCTCTACTCAAAGATTTGATAGCCACGTGTGCTAAGTGCAGTGGAGGTATGAAGATTCAGCCTAAAAAAAATTCAAGTACAGGGTGAACCAGTCTTTCTTAAAAGACGAATAATTCCTTATGGTCGTCGAGAGGCAGTACATAAAACATTAAACGATTTGTGTGCGAAAGGCATAATTGAACCGAACCAGTCCTCAGCATGGGGTACTCTTATTGTTAGGCCACTGAAGTCGGATGGCAAAACCCCTAGAATATGTGGTGACTATAGATTAACACTGAATTCACGTTTGTTGAAGCAAACGTGCACGACGGTAGAGGCTGAAGATATTCTAAATCGACTTCATGGTTCTAAAGTGTTCTCGAAAGTTGACCTAAAAGATGCTTATCTCCAAATCCCTTTAGATCAATCTTCATCTCTTTTGAAGACAATTCATACTCCTTTTGGTCTGTTCAAATACAATTTCCTTCCATTTGGTCTAAGTTGTTCTCCAGTTATATTTCAGGAAATCATGAATAATGTAGTTAGTGATCTTGAGAGCGTTGAGGTTTATCAAGATGATCTCATTGTCCATGGTTCTGATAAGGTAGTTCATAACCAGAGACTTATTGCTTTATTGCGTCGTTTAATTGAAAAGAATATTACAGTGAATCCAAATAAGTGTTCATTTTGTGTATCTAATTTCGAATGTCTTGGATACCTAGTTGATGGTAATGGGTTTAGACCAGATATGAAACGACTGGCTCCACTGACAAATGCGCCGTCTCCAAAAAATCTTGCGGAACTACGTTCACTAGTGGGTGCTCTTCAATACTATTCCCGTTTTATTCCTAATTTTTCTTGTCATGCAAATTGTTTATTTAATATTTTGACATCCAACTCATTTAAATGGGGTGAGGAACAAGAGTCATGCTTACGTAGTCTACTAAAGTTTCTTCAAAGTGATGCTGTTCTTCGAACTTACTCCCCTAGTGTACAGTCTGTACTTATCACTGATGCATGCACCTGTGGGTATTGGCGCAGTTTGGGAACAGGAAGGTAGACCAGCAATTTGTGTTTCACGCAAACTTACTGTTACTGAACAAGGTTACTCACAGACTCAGCGAGAAGCATTAGCTGTGTTTTGGGCTGTTAAAAGACCTCATAAATATTTATTCGGAAAGAAATTCACTATTGTTACTGATCATGAGGCTTTAAAGTTTATTTATCATCCAAAAAAATCCTTAGCACGTTCCTCAGCTGCTATGGTTCAACGATGGAGTATTGTTTTGAGTGCCTATGACTATACGGTTCAGCACAGGAGGGCCAAACAAATTCAACATGTTGACTACATTTCTCGACAGTCATTACAAGATAAACCTGTAAATACTTCAGACTGTTTTTTAGTGCAACCTTTACCAGTGAAACGTCCAGATCTCATTGGAGAAAGTCGTAGACACTTTGGATGTATAATCAATGCTATACGTAAAGGTTGGAATGCTAATTTGAAACGTAGATTTCCTATCTATTTTTCAAAGCGGGATGAGCTATTTACTACTCCTGATGGTATTTTGTGTTTGAATGATCGTGTTGTTATTCCTCATTCATTGTGTAAATCTGTCCTAGAAGATATTTATAGTGGACATTTAGGTGTTGAAAAAATGAAGTCATTGGCGAGGCTCACGTGTTGATGGCCAGAGATAAATGCGGATATTTGTCGTACAGCAAACAATTTTGAAAAGTGCCATAAGCTGAAAAATCAACATTCGAAGTGGACTCCATGGCCAGTATCGTCTGAGGCCTGGCAGAGACTTCATGCAGACTATTGTGGTCTGTAGTTATTGATTCTTTTTCAAAGTGGCCTGAAGTTTTTTTCACAACTTCACCGAATTCTGACTTCACAATTCAAGCATTAAGAAAGGTGTTTAGTCGAGAAGGGGTTCCAATGGTGTTAGTGACTGACAACGGCTCTCATTTTGCTGCAGATGCAGTCACTACCTGGTTAAATGGTATAGGGTGCAAACATCTGTTTACTGCTCCCAGACATCCTTGTTCCAATGGTCAGGCAGAAAATTTTGTCAGGACGTTAAAAACTGCTATTGATTCTATTGCCGCCTCAACATTTAATGAGCTGGAGAGGGGAGTAGATACCTTTCCACTGCAATATAGAAATGCCAGACATTCGGTGACGAAAGAAACTCCATCAAAGCTATTAAAAGGAAGAATTCTTCGGTCGAATATGAGATGTTTGGAGTCTGCAGAAGTTACGTATTATCGTGGCAATGATCTTCGACCATCCACGGGGATTGTTCTGAAGAATGTCGGGAAATCTATGGTGCGACTTCTAGATATCAATGACTTAAGTGCACACAATCGACATGTTGATCAAATACAATTCCAGGAACCAGGTGAGTTTGTTCCAGATTTCAGTTGTTAATTCTAATACTAATGAGTGCATTCTAGATAATACAGAGTCTTTATCCAATACTTAGTCCAACAGACAGAGCATGAACTTGATAAGAAGGCGAACAATTGATTACAGACAATTAGACTCTAATTTAAGCTGTGGCGGATGTGGTGTTTGAATGAACTAATGACTCCTTTGTACTTGTTGAATGTTTGATTTCGAATTTCAAATACAGTACATTCGTTAATGCTTGTGTATTACTTCTTGATTGAATTGCATTATTTCTGGGACTCTTAGTTCGTATTATAATTCAAATACTTATAAATATCATAGTAACCTTGTCCTGCACCAACATTAAAGCCCCAGATATTTCTAGAAGCCCCCAGCTTCACATGAATCTATTATCGATCATCAGTTACACGTCGCAACTCAACTTTCATGAAGCGATCCAACTGTGATATTGGCCAAAACCATTTACATTCATATCTTATAAATTATCAACCTAACTGAGTATTTCATTTCAATGGAAATTGCATGATTTGTAACAATTCGATCTTGCCTGTCAACTGACATGCCTCATGTAACAAACTGTTATTTGAGAATAAATTGTTATTATTATTAAAAGTAATAATAATAATAGCAATCTGAATACAATTCAAAACCTGATCACTCTTGATAATAAGTCAATATTACCAGGGTAGTTTTAAGGTAAGAGCAAACTGTTTTTGAATACACAAAGGGGGTTTGAACTTTCTTACGGCTAAGGCTTCGATAAACCTTAGTATACGCCCTTTTACAATTTTATACAATACCACGAAAACCGAGTTTAGATC